TCAACCATAGGAACAGACTCTGGATGAGCTTGGGCACTCTTAGGTATTTCCCATACTTAGGAGCTCAGCCTCTGCTGGCCACAAGAGCCTTAACACCTCCAGGCAGCATCATGGGATAACGCTAATGTAGAGCTAAGTACCTTTAGTCTCAAAAGGTTTGTGCTTGGGAAGCTCTTTTGGAGAGAAGAATCCACTTGCCCTCAGAGCTTCATTGATTTCTGTCTTGCCCAGAAAGTGAACACAAAGCAATCATTCCACCACTTGCTCATTCCCTCATTTCCCCTGCCCCTCTCATGTGATAGTGAAGCATACAGTGACATCCTAGAGGACAGAGCATAGAGCGGAGGTGGGAGTATTTGTCAGGTTAAGAAGGTTAAGACGCTTGTCTCTAGAGGAGCACTCTAGAGAGGAGTCTGTTTCCAGAACTGCTGAGGAGCCCTTTGTGGTTCTGTTGACAGTGAGGGGTGTGGGGGATAGTCTGGAGGAAATGTCCGGCATGCAATAGGATTGATGGCCCAGGAGGTCAGAGGAACAAGCAGGAGGTGATCTTGGGCTTCTGAGTTAAGATGATCTTTTTTCGGGGGGAAGGGGCTAGGGTATGGGGAAGAAAAAATTGTCATCAGAGGAGGAGGTGAGACTGCACTGCAGCTTGGAAGTGACTCATACCCTAATCATGCTTCTAAGTTGAGCAAGGAAGTCTAGGGACAGAAGACTCAGCTGGACAGGGTCTGAGGAATGCAGAGGAAGGGGGTAGTTTCTGGAACGTGGTAATGTACATCCATCCAGGGGTCAAAAATTCACTGTGTTCAATGAGGAGTGAGGCACAGAGACCACACTGGCAGGTGACAGAGAAGCATTTTTTCTCTCATTCACTCACTGGTTGTGATCCGGGAGGGTTGGGTGCTGCCCCATCCTAAAATGGGCCTCTTATCTCTGTCCTTAAGTTGACAATAGGGCACAGAGAGGCAAAATCATCTAAACAGATTTGGGGCAATCGATGGGCAGGCATTCACCTCAATATAACTCCAATGTTCTGCCTTCCTGGAACCATGATCCAGATGAAAGCCAGTAGACACCGCCACAGGCAGATGAGACACCAAGACGGTAAGACTGAACTGCACAGTCCCTTCCTTTCTAGATCCTCTTTGTCTGTAGGGTGCTTTCTTATGCTTTGACTTATTTTCCTTTATATAATCCCAGGTCCTGTGTGTAAATGTCTCCAAGTTCCATCCCACTTTTGCAGGCTAGCCAGTCCCTCCCAATCACCTCTCTGAGCTGCGCTGGCTGGACCCTAGAGTTTACATAAATACTTGATGGCCATGACTTGAAAGACTTCAATTTATCTGTTTTGATGTTTGACCTTTGCCTCCATGGACTTGATAGGTTTTGATTCTATAGAGTTGTACGTATCATCACCACGGTAATCTGGTGATTACCCTTCTAACTTCAGGTCAGGACCTCCATATGGGCAGAAAACATCCCTAGCTCATGGGTTTGAGGTCACTTGGCAGTAAGTTGTCATTGCCCACTCATTTCCCTCAGTTTCCTGCCTCATCTGTCACAGAAGGATTTTTAGAGGCTGCTGTGAGCCACCACTAAAATATTTGCCCAGAGTCACTCTGCTCTCATGCCCTCTCCTCCCAACCCACAGGGAAGTAGCAACCTCTAGGGGGCACCTAACAGGTTCTGCACACCTATATCAAATCCCTCCTGGAGAAAGGGATCCAAGTTGAGCAAATAATATGAACAGTTGAGTTAACAAGAGGAGCAGAGGAGGGAGGCTTCCTAGGGCCAGGGGGATGGGGGAATGAGCTGCCTTTAGTTCCAGGACACGCCTATTCCTCAGAGCTGCTGGGTTACCCAGGTAATCTGGCTTTGATAGCCCATGAAACGTGCCAGGTGACTATCAAAGACCTTAGATCAAAGGTGTTCTCTGCACACTTGTGGAGGGGAGGCTCGGTCTTCCAGGCAGGGGTCTCACCACCCCAATCTATGCACACTGTGGTCCTTGGAGGAGAGTCAGGACACTGAAGAATCCTCCCCCAGATCCCCATCAAAGGCAAAGGCCCTACCAGTGCTCTCTGGAGCAAGGGTTGGAAATGTGTTGAGAAAGGCCTGCCCCAGTAGTGACCCACTGATGAAGAGACGGGGGCCTTGTGTCCAACCAAACAGCTCAACGAAGCTAGACCACGATAGCCATGGAAAACCATTGCACATCAAGCTCACCATTAAAACACAAGTACAGCTCGAGGATTGAACGATCCCCTAGGTCCCTAGCTCTTCATCAGTTTTCATTCCTGTGTACCTCCAACCCAGATTGTACTCTGGTGGTCTCCCATCTAGAGCTATGTGGGATTTATTGGGAGCTCACCTGAGGCTGGAGCCATGTCGCTGTCCATGGCCAGACCCAGCCTCTGCTGCCTGGGTGCCCGAGGCTGTGGTTCTAAGCTCCCAGGTTCACCTGACACGTCACTTTGGCCTGATCTTTCTCCATCAGCCTTTCCTGCCCAGTGATTTTGGCAGATAAACACACACACCCAGAACATTCCAAGGCTATCTTGGTTTGCAAAGTTCTCTGAAAATTCAAGATACTGGCCAGTGCCCCGGCCAGTGCTTCCAATGAAGCTGTGGAAGAGCATGTACTGGGGCTGTTGGTGTGAATGACACTTCCTGCCCCGTGATCAAAGGCATCTGCAATAGGAACATTTGTAAATGTTTGCTGCTGTAGGAAACACATGACTTCATTTTGTTGAGTCTGTGCAGAGAATATTCTATTGCATCCAGGCTGAGTCTTGTGCAGCGAGGAGACTGTGGTGACTGCCTGGAAACGTGCTGATGGGGGTCTCCAGTAGATGTGTTAGTGGTTCTGCAGAGCATGGCAGCCAGACCACCTGCTGTTCTTCCAACTTCCTCAGATAACCAGCTCACAGTGGAACACAAGGAACGCTGCCTGCCCAGATCACGTGGCAAGAGTCCATAGACCAGGAGCCACCATTTCCCACCGCCTCCCCCCAACTATGAGTTAGTGATGTGATGAGGACGGGCTGGGCCTGGAGACATCTGGCAACTTGCTCTAAGCCTGGGGCCGCTGGCAACTGTGCGAGTGGAGGAGGGCCAGAGCCTGGGGCTGCTCTTGCAGAAAGCAGCCCTTCTGGGCTTCAGCCTCTCAGCTTCTACAGGGGCTATGGGCCTGGCAGCGAGGGCAAGGGACAGCCATATCTGTCCTAGCAGAGGTTCCCTATGAGGTCAGGAAAATCAAAACTGGAGCCGGCGTGTCTAAGTCAAGTGCCCAGCACCAAGAAGTGACCCTGCCTAAGAACGAGGGCTGCTGTGGGCACTCCCACTCGGCCCTGGGACTGTGGGCAGAGGAAAGCTGGTCCCCCACACCCAAGGCAAGCGCAAAGCTTATGGGCTCCGAGTGACACATGTGCATGAGAACAGGAGGCCGGAAGGAGGTGACAGGAGGTGACAGGCAGAGAGTCCTCTGAGCACTTCCATGGCCGGTCCAGTGGAGACTGCCTGGGGAATAAAGTTCTCAGAGTGCCCAGAGCAGTATGATCTGATGTGCAGAGGACAGACAAGGCACCTCGAATGGGAACCGGGGCTGTGGCAGTCTCCTTGGCACAGTGTGGCCGGAACTGTCGTGCTGTGCAGCCCTTAGCACCCACCTCGAGAGCCCCCACTGCTGCCCACGCTGGAGAGTGATGCCAACCATCTGTCAGCTGGGGAAAAGGTGCAGAAGTTATCTTATGGGGGCCTGGCGGAGGCCAAGCCCAGACAATCCTACCCAGGGCTGCGGAACCAGCAGGTGGTCCTAGCAGCACGGGAGGGCAAACACAGGGCAGTGGTGCCTCAGGCCCCACGGAACTTAGCCCTGGATGGCCAGTGGGATCCCCCACCCCAAGTCATGTCACTCAGTTTGGGGGTCAGCCAGTGTTGGTTCTGGGCTTTGACCTGGAGCAGCCCCTTGCCCCCCGCAAGTGCCTCCTGTGGGAGCCCTCCGGAGAGAACTCCTGGCCACGAGCTGTGACCACTGGCGGAGCGGGCGAGCAGAGTTCCTGTTAGGGATTCTCAGGAGCCCCCGAGTGGGGAAGCCAGCCAGGCCCACCAGGGACACCCCAAACAGTGGGGCCCCGAGTACTCACCCCTGCACCTGGTGCACTCTGTGAGCTGAGTGGAAAGGTCACTTTCCCCCACTCAGGTCTCTGTCTGGGACTGGCCCTGGAGCAGCAAGTTCATCCCTGGAGGGGAGGAGGTGCCACCGGCACCATTCCCCGGGCTGCTCAGTGCTTAGGCCGAGTGGTGGTGGTGCGGGGGTGGGCGCAGGGGTCCAGCTGCCCTCGCGTCCTGGAGGGAGCCAACAGCCAGCTGCTATTCAGGAAGGGGGCAGCCAGTAGCCACTCAAGGGGGGCCCTGGGCTCAGGTGTAACCCCATGTCTGGGCACAAGGATCCAAGAGCGGGTGAGGTGCCCAACCTCACCAACTGGGTGCCAGTCGACTGAGCCACCCCCATCTCTGGGTCCCCAAGCCAAGAAGAATGAGGTGCAATGATAACAAAGTTTATTATGAATGCTGAGATACAGTCCAGCTGTATTGGGTGACCTCTTTCAGTTTCTAGTCATTCGCATTGTGTCACCCTCTGGGTGTCCCAGCGAAGGGAACACAGAGGCTGTCCCAGGGAGTTGCCATGGGAATCTGGAGACTGCTGACACAGCAGGTCTTACCAGGTGGCACATGGTGTTAGACATGGCTTAGAATGGGCCGAGTCTGGCACTCATCACAGCGGGTAGACTAGAGTATGCGAGGCTGACGGGGCAGACAGCTAGGACTGGGGACAGTGAGGATGGGAGCCCAGGCATGCCCTGGAATGGTGGCTGCCTCTGTGGCATCTCCTGTCACTGATACTCAGCTCAACTAATAAGAAAAAGAATTTATAAGTTAAAGCAAACTAGGAACCCACCCTCCCCACACCCGGCAACAGGGGACTGTGAACGCTGGAGGTCCCCTGACCAGGCAGGCCTCATGGCCTGCTCCCCATTCTCTCAAGGCTTGCTCCGAATCCGCTGCTCATCCCCGCTGGATGACAGCTGTGCCTCATCTGCAGGTACTTCAGTAGGCTCCTGGACAGTGCTGGGGCCTGGAGGATCCTGGGCTCCTTCCTTCGGGGGCTGTACCTGCTGGGAAGGGGGGAGAGGGTAGACTCCTGAGCTGCAGGTGCTGGACCCACAGCATGGTGACCAAGGCCTCAAAGTTGAGCCTGCCAGCTGATGAGAGAGCAGCTTCCAAGACAGCCCATGAGGTGCTGTGCTGGCAGGAGGGGCCTGGGGACAGTGGGCTTCTTCCTGTCATCTCCCCCAGTGCCTTTGGCTTCAATGGCAGCATAAGCAGGTCCCGGCTTTCCCAATGCCCGGTGGAGGGCCAGGTCCCCACTGTGCTTCTTTGCCAGCCCTCTTCTTGGCCTGCCGCTGCCCCTGCCTGCACTGAGAGTGGCCTGCTGAGGCCGCCTGGCAGCTACCCAGCCCACTTTCATCACCCCTTCTGGGCCATGGAGGGGGAGGAAGGACAGACTCAAAGCTGTGTTCCCACTGTGGCTGTGGGAGCCTTTCTACTGAAGGATCGGTCTTAGGACTGGGGCTCCAACGTGAAGCCTGTTGTCAGGAAGAGCTATGCTACCACCACTGCTGATGGACCCCCTCGTTCTGCCTCCTGAGAGCAGACTGCACTGTTCCTGTCCTCACACTATGTGAATGGGAAGAGATCAAGTGCCTCCATGTTCACAAGAGTCCCTCAATGCCTGATGGAGTTGGGCCACCCCATCCTCCAGACCAGGAGGATATTCCTCTCTCCTCTCTGGCATTGCCGCCTGGTGACTGGCACACATTTGTGGCCCCTGGTCTCACCAACATCTGTTGAACCTTAGTGTGTTCAAGAGGATGTGTGCTTGCCATCCAGGGCCTGGGAGGTGGGAGTTGCCATCTCAGGCAAATGAAACGCAGCCAACTGAGAGGACCCCTCGGGAGAACAGGAGAAACCCCACTTCTGACCATAAGGTGCCCTTTCAGCACAAAGTCAATCATAGTTTCCATACCTGGATGAGGGGATCATGTGGCTCTTCCAGCTCAGGCAGAGGCGAGGCACGGAAACGCTTGGCCTTGAAGGCATCTGAGTGGGACCGCTTCAGTTTACCAGTGTGCTTGGTCTCCAAAGTCTGGGACCCTGGACTCTTACTGGGGACTGAGGTACTGCGCTGCATTAGAAGGACACAAGAACCCCAAAGCTGTCATTCAAGTGTCACACCTTTCCCAATGAAAAGGCACATCTAGGTCTTACAAGAAGCCACAACTGGGTCCATTTCAGCTGCAGCCAAAAGAGACAGGGCAAAGGCCCGAGGCCCTGGTGCCAGTCACTAGGGCTGTCCCGCCAAGCAGGCCTTACTGGCCAAATCCTTGGAGATGGTCAAGGTCCCAACTCCTCTCCCTCCTGCCTCTTCCTAGCACTGTTTTCTGACCTGGCTCTCGGGTTCCAGCATGGTCTCCAGCTGCTTCACTGTTTCTTCAAGGGTCTCCTGAGAATGTTTGGTGTCAGCCTGCAGCAATCCCATGGCATCTTCTATTGCCAGCGTGGTAGTAGCCCTCGATGCTCTGGCTGGCACGAGTGGCTGGGGAGCAAAAGAGTATGGTTCAAACAGAGATACTCTCTGAATCCAACCAGTCTTTGAACACAGGGTTTGAAAAGACTGGAGACAGGTAGTGGCACCTCACCCCAATCCTGATCGCACCCATCACTAGTATGCTGGAAGAAATGACTGCCGAATCTGGGAAATGTCAAATCACAAACGGACTGTGAGGATCATTTGCTCTTACTGCTGGTTATGAACATATAAAGAAGTGGTCTGGTCACAGTGCCATACTTCTCAGCTACAATATGGATGGAACAGGGAAAGTGAAGCTAAGTAAAATAAGTTAGAAGGAGAAGAATCAATCCGGATGCTCTCACTTACATGTGGAATAATAGAAGATAAATAACAGAACACATTTAAAGCTTGATCAAAAATACCCCAAAGGAAAAGAAAAAGCTCTTTACAGTGAAAGGATAACCACAGCCTTTCAGCAAAATAAGAACAATATGGGTTGTTATAGAAAAACTCTTGTAAGTATTTCAAAGAGTTTTCATAACTGATGAACTCTCAGTAAGGCAAGAAGACTACTTTCAGAGGGAAAAACTAGGACATGGAAGGGGCCACAGTCATGTTACTGTGGCCACACCAAGAGAGTGGCCCTCTTTTCTCATGAGAAACCTTTCTGATTGGAATGGAGAGAGTCATCTGATGCTAGTTCATTCAGACTCATTGCCAGGGCTGTCATTCCTGACTTTAACAATCCCTTCTACCAGAGAACATGGTTGTCGAAATCTGTCTTTACGGACACAAATTTGAGGTAGGAGAGACACAGGGTCCTGATGGGACCGGTGACCATGGAAGGCTACATCAAGCCAACACTCAATGAAGTCTGTCTTTACTTAAAACAAATTCCATAGGGAAATGGAGCTGGTAGGACTAGAAGGGTGTTGAGGCAGGAAAACTCTCTCCTCCGCCACAAGGATGGGAAGGCCCAGGGCTCTTTGAAATTCTGCCTTTCCTTATTAGTTTCACTTCCTATTCGACTCCAAGTCTTTCTAGCCTAAAGTGCCTCCTGTTTCCTATTTAGAGAAGAATGGGCAAGTGAAGGGACTTAGAGAACCCCTAAACTCAATTCTGTTGGGGCCACCGGATACTCAAGGCATCTGAAAACCAACAATCTACAGGATGCCTTCTGCCAAGGCAATCTGGGAACAAGAGAGAACAGTGAGGAGTCAGCAGGGAACACAGACTGTTAGCCCAAATCCTGAGGATACCTGACTGACAGTGGTCACACTGAAACACGGCAGCGTCTTCAGCTTGGTCTCCATCATCTCTGGAGCCAGCTCAGCTTCCTTCGGATTCTCCAACTTCTCCTCTACTCCCTCTGCCACTTCCGCTTTCTCTGCAAACTCAGCTGCCTTACAGGCCTCCTTGGCCATCTTCAAAGCTTTCTCCACTTCCACAGGCGCAACTTCTCCTTCTTTAGCAGGCCCGACCTCTTGTGCAGGCCCGGCCTTTCCTGTAGACTCCTCTGTGGGCTCTGCCTTCATGGCCAGCTTTGACTCCTCCCCAGGACCTTCTTCTCGTGCCTCTTCTGCAGCTTCCAGCTCTGCGGCTTCCTCGGGCTTCACCTTCTGCACAGGCTCTGCTCTGTCTGCCTCTGCCACTGACTCCTCCTTTACCTGCTGCTCTTCCTTCAGTATAGGCTCCTCCTCCACAGGCTTCTCTTCAGTTTCACCACCTTCTACTTCTTCCACGGGCACCGACTTTCCCCCAGATGGATCATCTTTTGTTTCAACCACAGAATATTCATAGGACGGCTCTATAGTACTCTGCAGCAAGTGGCGGTTGCGATCCAAATTAAAGCTAAAGTTCTGGAAGCATGTTAGAGCTGTGAAGCAAGCACAGTGGAATTCATGATTGAAAAAAGCAAAGCCCCAACACTATCACCAGCTGATAGATTGCTTGCTTATTTCCTTTTCTAAGTCATAAGTACAGGAGAGACCAGTTGGATTCCTTGTTAAGGATTGGACATAGACCAGGTGCCAGGATATTTCTGAACATTATTATAATCCTGCTCCTACTTGAAAATAAAGGCGTTTGCCTTGCACGTGGCCGACCCAGGTTCTATTCCTCCATCCCTCTCTCAGAGAGCCTGGCAAGCTACCGAGAGTATCCCGCCTGCACAGCAGAGCCTGGCAAGCTCCCTGTGGCATACTCGATACGCCCAGAACAGTTAACAAGTCTCACAATGGAGCCGCTACTGGTGCCCGCTTGAGCAAATCGATGAACAATGAGAGAACAGTGCTACAATGCATCTAAACTCATCCAAATTCAGTGTCTTTTCATTATATTGTCTCTATTTCTGGAAATCTGGTATCATGCCACAGATAAAAATACATATAATCTAGTTATCAACCGTTCCTGAAAGTCTAGATTATCTAGAGTGTGACACCACAGGAGTACTATAAGTGCTTTATGAGATTCCTAGAAACAAATGAAAATGAGAACACGAGTTACCAACACTTATGGGACACAGCAAAATCTGTGTTAAGAGGAAAGTTTATAGCTCTACAAGCATTCCTCAGGAAGGAGGAGCGAGCACACATAAGTAACCTAACCTCACAGCTTAAGAGCTTGGAGAAGGACCAAAAAACGGAGCACAACCTGAACAGGAGAAAAGAAATAATAAAACTCAGAGCAGAGATTAACAAGATGGAAACCCAGAAAACAATCCGAAAGATCAATGAAACCAAGAGCTGGTTCTTCGAGAAAATTAACAAGATCGATAAGCCTCTAGCAAAACTCACAAAGAAAGGGATAGAGACAACCCTAATAAACCGAATCAGAAATGAAAAGGGGGTCATTACAACAGAAACTACAGAAATTCAAAGGATCCTCAGGGAGTACTTTGAGAAGCTTTATGCCACGGAACATCAAAACCTCGAGGAAATGGATAAATTCCTTGACTCCTACAGACTCCCAAGGCTGAACCAAGAAGACCTGGAATGCCTGAACAGACCTATCACCATCAAGGAAATTGAAATGGTAATAAAAAGTCTCCCCAAGCACAAAAGTCCTGGCCCAGATGGATTCACTAGTGAATTCTTCCAAATCTTTAAAGAGGACTTACTCCCAATCCTTTTTAAACTTTTCCATGAAATTGAAATATCAAAAACACTTCCGAACAGTTTCTACGAAGCAAATATCACACTAATACCAAAAGCAGACAGAGATACCACAAAGAAAGAGAATTACAGACCGATATCCCTGATGAACACAGATGCAAAGATCCTCAACAAACTACTAGCAAATAGAATCCAACTACTCATCAAAAAGATCATACACCATGACCAAGTAGGATTCATCCCAGGGATGCAAGGATGGTTTAACATTCGGAAATCAATCAACATAATCCATCATATCAACAAAAGAAAAGATAAAAATCATATTATCATATCAATAGATGCAGAGAAAGCATTTGACAAGATCCAGCACCCCTTTATGATGAAAATGCTAGCCAAAATGGGTATACAGTGGACTTTCCTCAACATAGTTAAAGCCATCTACCACAAGCCTACAGCAAGCATCATCCTCAATGGGGAAAAACTGAGAGTCTTCCCTCTAAGATCAGGAACAAGACAAGGATGCCCACTATCTCCACTGCTGTTCAATATAGTACTGGAAGTACTTGCAATAGCGATTAGGAAAGAAAATGATATTAAGGGCATTCAGGTTCCAGAAGGCAGAATCTAAACAATGGACAGGGGAGTGTCCCGGTGGACGATTCCACAACAAAATAGACCACATAATATTCAATCGACGGTTTTGCCTGACTGATGTCGCTGTTGTCCCAAAATTTCGAATGGAATCGGACCACCGTCTCCTTCGTGCAAAATTCTACTTCACAGAGCGGGGAGAAAAGGCTGCAAAGTTCAAAAAGAGAACTCCCAGAATGACCACCAACTGGGAACTCTTTGGTACTATTGCGGCAACATGGGAAGATGCCATTGTTGACAACATTGACAAGGAATACGATCGACTGGTTCAGCACCTCCATGAATGTGCGAGGAATGCCAAGAGACAGATAGCCACAAAAAATCGCCTATCTTCGAAAACTCTTGAGCTAATTCGCCAGCGTGGTTTGGCGCATGCCTCAGGCAACCACAAGCTAACGTCCGAGCTCGCAAAGCAGTGCAGAGATGCGATCAAGGAAGACCTCAAAGAGAGAAGAGCAGAAGTACTGGTAGATGCGGCAGAAGCCGGGAAAAGTATTTGTAACGCCCGCCTGTCCTTCGCCAACTATAAGACCAAGATGACTGCCCTCCGACGTCCTGATGGATCCATCACATCCTCCAGAACGGCAATGGAGACGATTATCCATGACTTCTACTCAAATCTCTTCGACAGCCATGTCGACTTGACGACATACCAAATTCCACAGGATGGATATGTCGTTCCCAACATTCTCCCTTCTGAAATCCGACACGCCATTTAGTCGGTAAAGAAACAAACAGCACCCAGCCCAGACAAGGTCAGACCTGAACACCTGAAGAACCGGCCGTCAGTACTCATCAATACACTGGCTCGGGTCTTCACTCGCTACCTGTCTGAATGCAAGGTTCCGTCCCAATGGAAAACCAGCAGGACCGTACTACTGTTCAAGAAGGGAGACATCCATGACATTGGCAACTATCGCCCGATCTGCCTATTGTCTGTCATCTATAAGTTGTTCACTCGAGTTATCCTAAATAGGATTGGCAGAACACTAGATGAAGGACAACCATGCGAGCAAGCCGGGTTCCGCAAAGGATTCAGCACCATCGACCATATCCACACGATAACCAAGCTCATTGAGGTTTCTCGGGAGTTCAAGATGCCGCTCTGTTTAACGTTCATTGATTTAAAGAAGGCCTTTGATTCTGTTGAGACGGAAGCGGTCATTGAAGCCCTAGCCAATCAGGGCATTCAAGCTGTACTGCGGATTCACTACCAGGATCTCACCATTCTACAAAGAAGTGATCATTGATGTCAAGAGAGGGATGCGGCAGGGTGATACCATTTCACCAAAACTCTTCAGTGCCACCCTCGAGAACATCATGCGATGACTGGAATGGGAAGGAATGGGAGTGAAGATAGATGGTCGGCAACTACACCACCTCCGCTTTGCTGATGACATTGTTTTAATAACACCAAACATCAGCCAAGCGGCACAAATGCTGCCCGACTTTGACCGTGAGTGTGGAAAGGTAGGACTACAGCTGAATCTTACGAAGACAATGTTTATGAGAAACAGCCTTGTTCCTGATGCCCCATTCACTCTCAATGGAACGACCATCTCCGAATGCAACAGCTATGTGTACCTAGGTCAAGAAGTCAACTTGACAAATGACCGGGCACCCGAGCTGCGCAGGAGGAAGAGAGCGGCTTGGAATGCCTTCAAGAACGTGGAAGAAATAGTTAAGAGGACAAAGAACCTCCGGCTCCGGGCACATCTCTTTGATTCCACTGTTCTTCCTGCATTAACATATGCCTCAGAGACCTGGGCCCTACGCAAACAGGATGAGAACGCTATTCAGGTCTCCCAAAGAAGAATAGAAAGAGCTATGCTTGGAATATCACGTTTCACTCAAATGAGAGAGAGAATCCGGAGTTCTGACATCCGTCGACGATCAAGAATCAGGGACGCTGTCTCATATGCCAAGGTGTCGAAAATCAGATGGGCTGGTCACGTAATGAGATTTAAAGATGACCGCTGGACTAGAGCTGTTACCGACTGGATTCCACGGGATGTCAAAAGACCGCGTGGCCGCCCACCTTCCAGATGGTCAGACTTCTTCGTCAAGATCATGAACGATCGGTTTGAGGCCCTTCATGTTCCTGGAGCGAACAGATGCCATTGGGCTACACTAGCCGACAGGGACAAATGGAGACGTTACTGGCGCCCGCTCGAGCAAATCGACGACTAACGGAAAGTTAAGTGATTAAGTGATTAAGTGATGATACTATACTTAGAGAACCCAATAACCTCCACCAAAAAACTCCTAGAAACAATAGACTTGTATAGTAAAGTTGCAGGCTATAAAATCAACACCCAAAAGTCCATGGCTTTCCTATACGCAAACAGTGAGAGAGAAGAAAGCTACATGAAAAAAACAATCCCGTTCACAATTGTTCCCCAGAAAATCAAGTACCTAGGAATCAGCTTAACTAAGGAAGTAAAGGACATGTACAAAAAAACTACAAAACGCTACTTCAGGAAATAAAAGAGGAAATGAGGAAATGGAAAGATATACCCTGCTCAAGGGTCGGGAGACTTAACATTGTCAAAATGGCAACATTACCGAAAGCATTGTATAAATTCAATGCAATCCCTATAAGGATACCCATGACATTCTTCAAAGAAATGGAGCAAACACTCCTGAAATTTATATGGAACAATAAGCCCCCATGAATAGCTAAAGCAATTCTTGGGAAAAAGAAAATGGGAGGAATCAACCTCCCTAACTTCAAACTGTACTACAAAGCAGTAATAATTAAAACAGCATGGTACTGGAACAAAGGCAGAACTGCAGACCAATGGAACAGGGTTGAATACACTGACATCTCCCCTCAATCATATGATCATCTAATCTTTGATAAAGGTGCAAGTAATGTGAAGTGGAGTAAGGAAAGTCTCTTTAACTAATTGTGCTGGCATCACTGGACGGCTACATGCAAAAAAGTGGGCTCAGAACTCTGCCTAACACCATGTACAAAAGTAAGATCAAAATGGATTAAAAACCTCAACATCAGACCAGAAACCATAAGGTACGTCGAAGACAAAGATGGCAAAACCCTCCATGACATTGAAGCTAATAGTATCTTCAAAGATGCCACGCCACTGGCCGAGCAAGTGAAAACAGAGATAGATAAATGGGACTATCTTAAACTAAGAAGCTTCTGCACCTCAAAAGAAACAGTGGCCAAAATACAAAGACAGTCTACAGAATGGGAAAGGATATTCACCGAACACACATCTGACAAGGGGTTGATATCAAGTATATACAAAATACTGGTTGAACTCCACAAGAAGAAAACATCCAACCCCATCCAAAAATGGGGCAATGAAATGAACAGAAACTTTCTCAAAGAAGAAATCCGAATGGCAAAAAAGCACATGAGAAAATGCTCTACATCATTAATTATCAGGGAGATGCATATCAAAACCTCAATGAGATACCATCTCACACCTCAGAGACTGGCCCACATCCAAAAGAACAAAAGCAACCAATGCTGGCGTGGATGTGGCAAGAAAGGGACACTCACTGCTGGTGGGAATGTCGACTGGTTCAGCCTTTCTGGAAAACAGTATGGACGATTCTCAAAAAATTAGAAATTGAGCTCCCATTTGACCCAGCAATACCACTCCTGGGAATATATCCCAGAGAGGCAAAAATGTATAGTCGAAGTGACATCTGCACTTGTTTGTTCATTGCAGCACTCTTTACAATAGCCAGAAACTGGAAGAAACCTGAATGCCCAAGAACAGATGACTGGTTAAAGAAACTTTGGTACATCTACACAATGGAGTACTATGTAGCTGTTAGAAAAGATGAAGTCATGAAATTTATATACAAGTGGTACAATATGGAAAGTATCATGCTAATAAGCGAAATGAGTCAGAAAGAGAGGAATAGACATAGAAAGACTGCATTCATCTGGGGAATATAAAGAAACAAAATATGAGATTAATACCCAAGAATAGCTGAGATCAACACCAGGAGGATTACTCCATAGCTTAGAGGCCAGCCGGCCATTCTAGGGGAAAGGGCAGCTCAGATAGAGAAGGGAGCACCAAATAAAGGGTGTTTGGAGGATCCTCTCAGGAGGGGAGATACATGTTGAAAGTAGACTATGGACTGAACATGTTTGCCACTCAATGCGTCTTTTGCAGACCACAACACCCAAAAGGAGAGAGAGAACACAGGGGATTGCCCTGCCACAGAGGCAGGGAGAGATGGAAAGGATGGGGGTGGGAGGGATATTATCCATGGTGGTGGAAAATGGGCCTGGTGGAGGGATGGGTATTTGATCATTGTATAATTGAAACCCAAGCACAAAAAATTGTAAATCTACAACTGTACCTCATGGTGTTTCACTAAAAATAATTTTAAAAAAAAGTTCAATTGCAAAAAAAAAATAAGTGCTTTATGGAGGGACTTCAATGTAACACTCCCACAATAGCCCCCAAAGCAAAACAGAGACCATTATTTGAACGATACAATATAATTGTGACATTTTAAAAAAGAATTTGTCAGTTTCCTTTTAACAAACTTCCTGGTATCACCCAGAAGTCCCACTCCTGGAGATCTACACAAATGAACTAAAAAATCATACTCACAAACTAAAAATCTCTTACAAATTCTTATAATCACCAAAGACCTGAAACAACCTTTGTCCAGTCACAAATGAATTGATTTTGAAAAATTACTGTAATATTTGAAAATTTCTGTAATATATTTATAAGAGGCTGTCTACTCAGCAAATGAAAAAGCAGTAACTATTACGCCTGGAACATGGTTAAATCTTAAGACACACTTTGTTAATAAATCTAGTCCAAAAACGCTAGATGTACATGATTTTGTGTTATAACATTCTGAAGGGGAACCACACAGATGAAACATAGACCAATGGTGCCAGAGAACTAGAGTGTGAGTACACAGAACCAGCACCCAAGAGTACTGGTGGTAACGGTGGTGGGAAGTGTGGTAGATTATTATGTGTTGCGGTGGTGGAAACATGATATTTTTCTTTCTGTCAATCAGAAACATAAGTTGCAATAATACTATTTGGAATAATTCAATATATCCAATAACTCTAATGATTTCACTGAGTGAAAATTTATACATTGTTTTTAGACATATTAGAAAACTCAATTATAGATTTTTGAACTTTTCCCCCCTTTCCATCTTCCCAATCAACTCATTTGAAATGATTTTTCTTAAAACAAAGTGTAGAAACTGACAGCAATAATAGAAGGACTGTTCACCAGAGTATTTATAAAAACCATTATGTCAACATATGGAAATTCCTAATACAAGTTATCTATGAAACAAATAGCTAGAGTTCATGATCTTCATTATGAACCTTTTACCATCAACTGTCTTCCATGCAACTAAATTTATGAAACGTCTTTACTAGTGAAGTTCACATAATAAAATCAATTTTGGATAGCTTATGCCTTTTCCCCTTTTTTTTCTAACAACTTTTCATATAGTGTTGTTCTTATTTTAAAGAGGATTCTTAGGAATACGACCACTATGCCATAGCAAAGGTGGTCTGAAAATGAAAAGATGACCATCTATTTCTCCTACGACTAATATCCAGCACCAATATTTAGAAGACTAACCCTAAGTGGGAGAGGAAAGTGCCATTCCAGAAGCACTTGAATGACTGCTGAGATTCATCTTCATTGCTCTTCTATCATCATAAATTTTTTTAACTCAAGCTAAAGTTACAGACCACTTCTGTAATTTCACATCATTCCTAACAGAACTTTCCTTTGCAAACCTGAAACCACCATATAGGACACTAGTCACTTCTTATGGTCTCTATTCCAATGCCCAAATGTACCTACCGTTCCAACTAGCAGAGGGTTGTGGAGAAGATGAATGTGAGTCTGGCGATGACGCAGACTCGATGTTGCATTCGCTAGAAGAGTTACGTGATCCATACTGCTCAACAGTTACAATGGAAGCTTGATCCTGGAGATTACCGAAACAACAGAAGATGACATTTCAACTGGGAGGCAAGTGGATACATAAACAAAGAAAACAGGACAAACACAAATTTTGATGCATATCACATCTAATTAATTCAGAACACTGGTTGTATGAATTGACTAAGGCAAAACCACTCGAATATATGTCCTTGAAAAATACTGCTGGAAAACCACGACACCCGAAAGGAGAGAGAGAACAGAGGGGAATGCCCTGCCACAGAGGCGGGGGGGGGGGGGATGGAGGGGATGGGGAGTAGGAGGGAGACTGGGATCAATGGTGGTGGGAAATGGTCACTGGTGGAGGGATGGGTATTCAAAATAAATAAATAAATAAAGGAAAAATACTGCTGGAAGAAAAAGTACAGAGATTGGATCCATGTACTATATACACTGTTAAGAGTCAAAACTGAAGAGAAACACAGTACAGGTGTGCTGAAAGTACTCCCACAGAAGAAATGTGTACTACTTGAAAGTCATAGTAAAAAATACAGCTATGCTTTTCAGATATGTCGGTAGGGTGTGGTGATAGTAGTTCATAAGGAGGACACAAGGCTCATTTTCCATCCTTCTTGAGAAGATCCAATGTTTCCGCGAGGAGGAAAGGCTGTGAGACATCTGCACCACCACTGATAGGACAGCGCCCCCAGTGATTCTGCCCATGCTAGAATAAGGCCAACAAGTATTGCTTGCTTGGACAATTCTAAGCTTTGAATGCAGATTATAGAGGAAAGTGTAAGTGAAATGGCACCTTAACTATATAGAAGAGCAGTGAGAATGGACATGAAAAGGACAGAGGGGCACCTTCCCATTGACAGTGTCAAGACAAAGGATGAAGAAATGGTCACCCCACAAATTTGAAACAAAGTTAGATATCTCTGACTCTGGATCCCCACAAATTTGAAGCAAAGTTAGATATCTCTGACTCTGGATCCTTCCATGTTAAAGTATTCATATTTCCAGTCAAGATCCATTTCCATTTCCTTAACAGTTAGATCCTTTAGAAATTTTCAGAGCCCGGATTAGCGGTGAATTTTTTTTTACCTCTACTAAAAGATTTAATTGTTGCAGTTGTTGTCTGAGGCTTGAGGTGGGCAACTAGATTAAGACCTAAGGCCATACAAAACACAATACATTGCTGAAATCGTTTCCATATTTTCCTTATTTAAAAGGATATTGTGCTGAAGTAGCAGTTATTGAGATGGGAAATGACATTCTGGATCCTCTTCTATTCCTTTCATTCCGAATATAAATTTAATCTTTAGTATTTTGCTTCCTGGATGATTCTCAATAGAACTAACAGTGGTGGAGTGTGTACACTTTGTTGGTACTTTGGCAGTGGCAGAGGGGGTACTGATTATATTGTACACCAAAATCATAGACACCAAATACTGCCAGAACCACAATACCTCAACAATAAAGGTAAAGGTAAAGGTAAAGGCCCTCCCGTTGATCGTCGATTTGCTCGAGCGGGCCCAGTAACGTCTCCATTGGAGACTTTGTTGTTACTGTGTCTGGCATATCGAATACTCTCGGTAGCTTGCCGAGCTCTCCGACAATAACACAATTTAAAACTGTATATACTTGGATATTGATTAAAATGCTCACTTTTGTGCATTCATGTTTTAGCTTATCAAGATAAATGCAGTCAGGATAAATTAAATAAAAGAATTATGTGTAGTAATGGTAACTTGCCTAGAAAGAAAAAACCAAAGCAAACAGACTACTTTGGAAGCAAAAGATACCAGTTTAAAAGGCAATTAGCTTTTAAAGTCTTAAGAGTGGGAACTAAAAGAAAGATGAAATGAAAATGTGTCCACGGGAACAGGATGGAAACCACTGCAATTTTACAATTTTAACAGGAGTCTGGATTCACTTCTATTCTATACTTCTCCATAGGGATCTGAAAAGAGCATCCTGGTGCCTGAGGTTGGATGTAGAGTAGGCTTCAAGCGCCTGGTGGGCATGAGAACTAAAAATGAGTGTACACCGCTGGGCAGCAATCAAGATGTTCCCCCAATCTTCCCATTTTCCTCATGACTAGCCTGTCAAAGTGCTTTGCCTAATTTTCGAGAGGTCCATTCATTTTACGTTTTTTTCTGAAAAAAAAAAAAAAACCTCAAAGGCTTCCAGTCAAGAAGACAGACTAAAGAACACAAGGTGTCAGCTTTCTCACTTTTTCAAGGCTTTCCCCATATTGAACACTGACCTCTTGCACTCCCAATCCTTCTCATCCTGCTCCACTTCTAGTCAATGTTGGGTTGATTTATTTATCTGATTTATTGCCCATCTCTTGGAGTCAGAATGAAAGCTTTAGAGCATAATTCTTTAGTTTTGCTAATAACACACCGCTACATCGCCTAAAACAGTACATGATGCTTAGCAGGTGTCAAAGATAAATTTATTCAATGTATAAACCCATGAACTAATCTGAAATCATTTTTATAATGACATTAAAATATTCAAAAATGTTGGAACCTGAGAGATAGTACAGCAGGCAAAATGCTTGCCTTGCACACGAATCGGTCTCCTGAACCCTACCAGAAGTGACCCCTACGCAGAGAGTCAAGACGAAGCCCTGAGTCCTGCCGAGTGTCAGTTCAAGACATATATGGAATCCTAAAACTAACATATATGGAATCCTAAAACTAACAGGATAATGTGAAAGAACAGAAAGCTGTGAAGAAGGCAGATGCTGTGTTCTACAGCAAGAAGCATAGATACCAGGTTCAAAAAGACCTGGGTATGAGTCTTGGCTCTGCCATGTACTGTGTGACTGGGAAATTTATTCATTTTCATTCATTTTATTCACAATCATTCAATACTTAACATCTTTAAAATTGTACTGAGAATACCTTAAAGTGCTGTTGTAAGGGTTAAGCAATGCTTGTCACATGAAAAATCCTCAATGTATTTTAGTTATTATATTATCTTTATTTTATTATATGAAGTCTCACCCCCCCCCAATAAACCTTGACTAACCTCTTAGACCACTTCCTTCAGGTATCTGTTGAATGAATAAATGACTCAGTACTCTTTACAGTAGGTTAAACCAATGGCAGAGTACTTCCAAGTTTGATCTGTACTATGTCTCCCACCCATCCAACCCCTGTTACATGCTCAAAGTCAGCTGCTTCTGAAGATTTATCTCCTATCTCCAGACATAATAGATTAGTATGGCAAACCCATTACGTGAACAGTTTAAGAGTGAAGTAAAAGCTCCAGTTCTGCCAGATGTGCTTGCCTACTGCAACACAGTTGAGTGACAGATCTATCTGTGTTGATGCAGAACATTAGCAAGTAATCTGAATCATCCAAACTCCATCAAGCAAATATGTTTGTGGGACTGTCGATTCAGAAAAATCTGTTCTGGACTGGCACTGTTGCTACTACAGTAGCCATTGCTCTCCAAGTGGTGAGGTGTGGCTTTAGAGAAGGAACTCTGTACTTCATCCATCACCCTACTCTCAAATCCTTGTCAGTTACTGTTTCCCCAGGACATACTTGTCTAAACGCAGGGTATCTGTAGTAATAGCTGACAGATAAAAGTACTGTGAACCCTGGCAGGAGCTAGTGTATGCTTTGCATGGCTCCATTTGCAGAGATTTTTACCCAGAGTTTCTGGAAAACCTCACCTATGAGGTTGATGGCTTTCAGGAGATGTGATGTTTTCAGGCCACTATTACATTAAGTATTTTTTTCTGTACACTGCCCAATCTTTGGGCACTCCACTGATATGTATTTGTGGGTTGGAATTTTGAAGCTTTAGATGTTTTGTTTCTTTTCTGCTATACTTTTAAAAGCTTTTTTCCCTCCTCCCCCATTTAATTTTTGAAAACCTTGTTCCTTTTTCTATAAATCCACAAGTCTACAAATCTACAGTGTTTACATCTTCCATCAGCCCCACTCTGTTGTTAAATGACTTCTATTTTGACTTGAGTTTTCATTCCTTCTTTTGTTTCTCCACTTTAAAAAATCTGAACATAGGTAATGGTAACAACTATTTCAGTGACCCACTAATTCGGAAATCTGTGTTTGCTCTTTGTGGTTGGCTCTGTTTATTGCTTTCCTCTTAAGTAAGAATCCTATATTGTTAATTCTTTCAGTGTTGGTGATTGCTTGCTGAGTGACAAATCTTACTCATTTGACCTTCCTGGATAGTAGACATGCTCACTTGGGACACTTTCAGACATCAAACCTGTTCTTTGCTGGACACACACATTGACCAAGGACACAACACGAATCAATACTGCCAAGACAAGTAGATTCTCTCTCTCTTAGTGTACATACATCCAAGGTACAATGCTCAGGGCCTGTATACACGGATTCGGTTCTGTAAGTAATTCCTTCGCAAGTACTTCCATGGTATGTAACTCTTCTAAAGCTAGAGGAAAAGAGAAATAATAAGCACATCAGAAAAAAGTAAAAGGTACAAAATAGAAACACAATTCGTTAATTTTTCCTAACACAGTAACATCATCAATCTTTGAGCTGTTGTTTTTCTTAAAGAGTAAGTTGCTCTCCAACACATCTCTAAAGAAACACTGGAGGTAGAAAGGGACCCTCCTTCACTGCTGGTGGGAATGCCGACTGGTCCAACCCTTTTGCAAAACAGTATGGACGATTCTCAAAAAATTAGAATTTGATCTCCCATTTGACCCAGCAATACCACTCCTGGGAATATATCCAGAGAGGCAAAAAAGTATAGTCGAAGTGACATCTGCAATTGTTTGTTCATTGCAGCACTCTTTACAATAGCCAGAATCTGGAAAAAACCTGAGTGCCTGAGAACAGAAGACTGGTTAAAGAAACTTTGGTACATTTACACAATGGAGTACTATGTAGCTGTTAGAAAAGATGAAGTCATGAACTTTACATACAAGTGGTACTACATGGAAAGTATCATGTTAAGTGAAATGAGTCAGAAAGAGCGGGATAGACACAGAAAGATTGCATTCATCTGGGGAACATAAAGCAACAAAATGGGAGACTAACACCCAGGAGTGGCTGAGATTAGTACCAGGAATTTTGCTCCATGACTTGGAGGTCAGCCACACGTGCTAGGGGAAAAGAAGCTCAGATAGAGAAGAGAGCACCAAATAAAGGGTGTTGTGAGGATCCTCCCAGGGTGGGAGAAGCATGCTGAAAGTAGACTATAGACCAAACATGATTGCCACTCAATGCCATCTCTTGCAAAACACAGGACCCAAAAGTAGAGAGAGAGAACAAGGGGGAATGCCCTGCCACAGAGGCAGGGTGGGAGGGATGCTGGGACCTGTGGTGGTGGAGGATGGGTGCTGGTGGAGGGATGGGTACTTGATCATTGTATAGCTGAAACCCAAGCACAAAAATTTTTAAGTCTGTAACTGTACCTCATGGTGTTTCACTAATAAAAAAAATAAATAAAAAAATAAAATCTTCAGCTAAAATTAATAAAAAAAAGAAACACTGGGATCTTCACTGATAAGTTTGCTGCAGGTCCCAGTGCCTCTTTTGACAGTAGCAGTGAGTCAAAAAAGCTTTAGAATAAGCCAAGGTGTATGAGCAGCTGTTCTGAATTTAAACCAACTGCAATAACAAAAAATGCCTTGAAGTAAAATTTAATTCCATTTGCTGTAATTAGAGAATCTTTCCATTCTGACTCATTAACAATTAATTTCTATCAAAATTAGAATTTCCATGCCCAAGGTGAGAATCTAAATACTAGCTTCCTTTTCACCTAATAAGAAGAAATTGGGAGTGAGAACAATAGAGAATGAGTCAATGAGAATTTTGATTTTTATACTGAATTCTCTTTTTTTAACATTTTTAATTGAACTGCTGTGAGCTACAGTTACAAAACTTTCATGTTTGAGTTTCAGTCATACAGTGTTCGAACACCCATCCCTCCACCAGTGTGCATTTTCCACCACCAATGTCCCCTTGTGTCCACTCCCCTTGTCCCACCTCTCCCCCTGCCTCTATGGCAGACAATTTCATTCTTACTCTATCTACTGAATTACTTTATTTTATTTTATTTTTATTTTTATTAGTGAGACCCCATGAGATACAGTTGTAGACTTACACATTTTTGTGCTTGGGTTTCAATTATACAATGATCTGAATTACTTTTTAACCTTTAAAATGTCAAAGCTGAGCATCTTGCTGTGGAAACAGACTTTCTTTTTGAGAGCCAAAGAAAGGAACTTCCCATCACTGTACTGAGACAGCGAGACTCTGCTAAGAGTAGGGATGACAACAGGACCTCATCTCACAGCACAGTAACACAGTGATGTCATGATACCCACCCAATCTGAGCTGAACACGCTAAGTCCCCACAGTAACCCCACCATTCCTCCCTGGTTTCCAAAAGTGAATCCTTATGCAATGAGGAAAACTCCAGGCTCTATTTCCAGAACCCAGTCTCCAGAGCAACCTTATTTTGTCATGGTAGGACATTTGGATGATTAAGAAAAAATATATTTGGTTATCAAAGTACAAGAACTTTTAAAGAGAAATAAACTATGCAAATCATTTTAAGGCATGTAAGTTTTAATAATGTTGATTAAGGAGCATGAAATGACTATATAGAGTTAACTATCATATTCTGGGTTATGGGGCTATGGACTATCTAATACATTTTTCTTTTTAGCATCGAGAAACCTAGACATAAACAGTCACTTATAAATTTGCTCCTAGGTGATTTAAAGATAAAATTCCTAAATATTATCACCTGTACTTTCATGTTGTTCGGCCCCAGTGAACCTATCAGCCAATTTGCCTCAGGGAACATTTCCTTCTAAACGCTGCTGTGGCTTCAAGGCTGTTCTTCACTTTGTATTCTTTCAGTGGTCTGCTCTGCTGACCACCCTTGGATTTAGGTAGGCGTGACCCTAACACCTCTCTCTCAAGACCTCTCCCTGCACCTGCGCCACATTCCCACGCATCCAACTGCCTTCCAGACATGGAATACGGCCAGACACCAGACACCTCAACTGGACATGACCTAATGAAATGGTCTCTACAGTGATTTAGGCCAAGAGTGTCACCCTCCATCCAAATATAAGACTGAAACCTGAAAATAATCTTTCCCCGTCCCTTTTCCCCTACTCTCTTTCATTTTGTACAAATTCCCATTATCTTTCTTTTTACTAGGTGAATATCCTGAAGGTAGTGTCCCTTCTTTGTTCCCAGCACCTACAACAAGGCACTGTCATTGCTAGAAGTTTCGAGATTATCTGCTGAGTGAACAAAGAAATCAGGCATTTCACTGAATTCAAACATTTGTGCAACTATCACCCCATGTCTGCTGGGCATGACATAATTACTTTCAAAGAGATGACATAATTATTTTCAAGGAGATGTCAAGAATTCAATATACTCCTGAAAAACAATTCAATATCTTCATATTGGTTTCTAAATAGTAAATATCTTCATATGTGAGATAAAGAGCATGTGAATGAAAGTGTTGCTGCACTGTCTCATGTGGTGAACACAATTCATATGTGGCTAAATTATAATCACAACTAAAATACAATTCAAAATTTAGTTAATGGAGGTAGCCACATTTCAAGTGTTCAGTAGCTGCATGTGACAAATGACAATTTTATCAGAAAGTTCCTGTTACTACAAAAGCTTCTTGGACAGTGTAACAGCAAATGAAGTAACAAGTTTCATTGGATAAGACATCTGACAACGAAACACTTGAAGATCATTGGATCTTGCCTTAAATTCACTGGTTTGAATACTGAGAATATGAAAATAGGGGCTGGAGTGATAGCAAAGCAGGTAGAGCGTTTGCTGTGCACGTGGCCAACTCTGGTTTGATTCCCAGCATCCCATATGTTCCCCAAGCACCGCCAGGAGTGATTCCTGAGTGCATGAGCCAGGAGAAACCCCTGTGAATCGCTGGGTGTGACCCAAAAAGCAAATAAATGTGTTTAAGAATATGAAAATAAAAATCTTTCAAGTTTTTCAGTGAATTTACAATTATTGCTTCCCTGCCAGTGAATACAGATGGCAATTTTTATCATTCAAATATAAGAGTAACAAATTAGCACAGACACTGTTAGGAAAAGAGTGTTTTCTACTTGCACTATATATGAAAACAAATGATTTCAGACACAGGACAGGAAATATGGCAGAGGGTGGCTGCTCCATTCACGAATCATCTTTGGTCACAAATAGATACAAACAGAACCACCCTTTTCCCAATTCCATCAGTTCATTTTCAAAATAATAAAAATGGTGGCTTATAGAGAAAACTAAGAAATGAGGATGCATTTCATTACCTAATTTGGAACTATATTATTAGCTATGGTGATCAAAACAGCATGATACTGTAATTAAGATAGGCCCTCTGGTCAATGGGTTAGACATGAATAACCTATGACAAAACCTCATATTTATAGAGTTAAGTTTTGGTAAGGGAGCTGGGAACATGAAATGGAGTACAGATAGCCTCTTCAACCAATGTTACTGGTGAATCTGGATAACCACACGCATAAAGCTGCATCTATATATTACAGCTCACACAAAAGTCAATTCAAGGTGTATCAAAGACCTTGAGATACAGCCAGAAAGTATGAAATATACTGAAGAAAATATAGGTAGAACACTTCAAGATATGGACCTCAAAGATGTCGTCAATGATCTCTTACCACTGGCAAAGGCAACAGAATCAAAAGTAAACAAATGGGACTACATAAAATTAAAGAGCTTCTGCATGAAATACTCGCTAAACAAAAAGACAGCTAACTGAATAGGAAAAAATATTTGCATTCAACAGATCAAGAAAAGGTTTGATATCCAGAATATCTGAAGTACTCACAATCACTTAATCACTTAACTTCCGGTTAGTTGTCGACCTGCTCGAGCGGGCGCCAGTAATGTCTCCATTTGTCCCTGTCGCTTGCTAGTGTAGCCCAATGGCATCTGTTCGCTATGGGAACATGAAGAGCTTCAAACTGATCGTTCATGATCTTGATGAAGAAGTCTGACCATCTGGTAGGTGGGCGGCCACGCGGTCTTTTGACATCCCGTGGAATCCAGTCGGTAACAGCTCTAGTCCAGCAGTCATCTTTAAATCTCATTACGTGACCAGCCCATCTGATTTTTCACACCTTAGCAAACGAGACAGCGTCCCTGATTCTTGATCGTCGACGGCTGTCAGAACTCCGGATTCTTTGTCTTATTTGAGTGAACCATGATATTCCAAGCATAGCTCTTTCAATTCCTCTTTGGGAGACCTGAATAGCGTTCTCATCCTGTTTGCATAGGGCCCAGGTCTCTGAGGCATATGTTAATGCAGGAAGAACAGTGGAATCAAAGAGATGTGCCCGGAGCCGGAGGTTCTTTGTCCTCTTAGCTATTTCTTCGACGTTCTTGAAGGC